AATAATCGAGGACACGTTTGATTAACTCCAACTTTATCGGTAAATTAGCGATGGACCGTCTCTCATCACGGGCACTGATATGATCATTATTTTCGTACATGCGCTCATGCAACAGCTCCCGCTTTTCCAATTTCCCAGCTCACTCAGCATTTCCCGACGCGACTGAAGTGAATATATGCTATAAGGTTTTCTAAAAAGTCTAATTTTTTATCTGGTTCATATTTTTGTAAATAGGAAAATGTGCAGTTCGGTATATTGCCGTGAATGATCCAAATATAACGTTACATTTGCGTATTTCCATTATTATCTTCGTTTTTCTCTTTTACTCGAAAAGGTTGTAACTTTTGCTCAACAGGTAAGCTTATTGATTTTTTTGTTTCTGTATGGAAATCAGCCGTTTGTACTGAAATTGTTTAAAAAACAAATACTTATAATCATGTTAATTTAATTTTAAATTAACTAAAATATTTATTTTATTTTAAAAAATTATTTTGATACAGGATGTTCCAAAACTGTTAACAATTCACGAAAACATTATTTTTAAATGTACTTAATTACCTATATAAAAGTAGTCACCCAAATATACTAATCTTTTTACAGTTGTTGATAAAAAATACAGCAAAAACTAAATTAAGGATTACAGAAACAATGTTATGTTTTTAACCGATAAAACTTATCCTACTTGTAATATCTATTGTGACTGTATATTCCCTTGAACATATTTTGACTATATTCTGAGTTTGGCTTGCACACTTTTTGTTATATTGATATTTATCTGACATTTAAAATTTTTTCTACTTAGTGTAAAATATAAATTATCGTACATAATACATAGACTAGTACAGAGACTAATATGAAGGCTATAGATGCAAAAATAAGATTCTCCACTATTTAAAATTTTACAAGAAATGAAAAAAACGTCTATGTTGTTTTAGAAACAATATTATGAAGTCAACTATAACGAATTTTTTGCTTACGTTTGAAAAATAACTTAATAATGGATTTTATAAATATATGACGGGGAATACACAGCTAAATTAAAAAAAAAAATTTAATTTAGATAATATTACTTTTGGAACTAAAATTTGGAGAATGTGAGGTCTGCACTGTAACAAGGTGGAAACCCTTAATTTTGAAACCAAGCTTAATAGGAATGTTCAGATAAAAAAGTGTTATAACACTTTACAAATATAATTTAGTATTAAAATATTCAGTTTTTTTTTAAACTTGTTTTATTTTGCTCAAATTTTACTTCCAAAATAGGAAAATAGGTATTTCATTAACAGCAACGTACACTTCATCTTCTTCAGTTGCAACTCATTTTTCTGGATCGTCTTAAACATACTAGTATAAATGTAATTCTTCAAAATTTCTCCAATCATCTCCATAATGTTTTTTTTAAGAGAATAAGGTTTCGCTATAGCAATAGTCTTAGGCCTTAAGCTATACAAATTTGTCCTCGTTTAGTGATGCTTCGTGCAGTGTCCGCAACTTCACTTTTCCACTTGTAAGTTGTCTCACCTTGAACCTTAGAGTAGGGAATTTTACACGTCATCACGAATTTTGACGTGTAAAATTCCCTACTCTAAGACTTAAACCAAAACACGGGTGACGTTTTGTACCTTCTTTCGGATCAAGTAAAGTCTCTTTCATGACTGTATGCCAAAATGCAAAGAACCAGGAGCTTTTATGATTTCCGTTGTTTGTACATCATCCCGATTTGGCGCATTTAGTAACCATTTGGCCAGTATACCAAGTAAAATTATGTTTTTATTTTGACCCCCACACATATCACTAATAAGACGAACAGCCGTGTCTGGGGTAATATCAATAGCACATAATAAATCAAATAAACAGGATGCTATTATATCTGAACTTGTTCCAATTTCGGTCTCAGTCCATACATAGGAAGTTATGTTTCACTTAGTAAGTTTGGATATCGAAGACTCTGTCACAACACAAAAATTATTAAAGCATAACTGTCGACTATAATAAGTGGATTGATCTGGAAGTTTCCTTCCAGGCGCTCGTAGCGCCTGATTTTTTTGACAATTAATGCTCAAAATCAACAAGTTATCTTTGAATTTCTTAAGGTCATAAAACTTATATACTGGTTTAGTTGTAATGAGAGTAGCTTTTTGCTGTACATCCTTGCATGCTTTTATTTGCTAGGTAAGTGACAAGCAAGTTGAACAAACATCCACCCGTGGGCAAACAGATCAGAACATTATCTCCTCAACTAAACAAAAATCCTTAGCGAAGGATTGTTGGTTTCTTGTACTCATACAGAGTATATCGGAATAAAAAGGAAGATTTAATTTCACGTATACTGCGTCTGTGTATCTGCTTATACGTATTTTGCCCTAATAGGGCTCGTCAGATACATTGTGGAATGCAATTTTTTTATTCCCCATGTCTCTAATAACATCTTTATTCGCGTCTGTTTTGCCTTGCAATTCTTAAAAGGCACAGATTAAAGCAAAAATCTGAATTTGGTTTCGAAAATTAGTTTACGAATTTTATTATCAGATGTCGCTATTTGCGTCCATGAGAAGCTATGTTAGAGTTGCTTCCTAAGACAAAAAATGTTGACTGTCTTTTTCTTTTTATATCTAAAGTATTGCTCTTTTATATCTATAAAAAAAAAACGAGCTGCGAAAACGTGCGAAGTTAATCATATATGCCAGAATTTACAAGAAATGCGAAGAAAATGTCGGTGAAATGCAATTTGGATTCCGTAATTCCATGGGTACACCTGAAGCACTTTTCACCTTACAAGTTCTACTTCAAAGATGCCGCATGTCAATTGTGATGTCTATATTTGTTTTATTGACTACGCCTAGGCATTTCACCGATGTCACCACCAGATGGTCGCTTTCCTACAAATAGTAGGATTGGATGAAAAGGACATTGGGATCATCATGAATTTATACTGGAACCAGCGTGCTCAAGTCAAGGCCGAAGACCAGCTCACCTACCAAGTGAAGATCATGCGAGGAGTAAGGCAAGGCTGTGTGCTCTCGCCGACTCTTTTTAATATATACTCTGAGGAAATTTTTACTGAAGCAAGCATAAACCTAGAGATGGGAATCGGAGTGAACTTTGAATACATCAATAATATCCGCTACGCCGATGACACTGTGTTACTAGCAACCAGCCTAAATGATCTACAAGCCTTACTAGATCGAGTGAGAACTGTGAGCCTAACGTACGGATTAGACATATTAAGAAAACTAAATTCATGGTTGTCACCCGTATAAATTTAGATCCCGTGGCACTTATGGCAGGTAGCGAAGAGATCCAGAGAGTCGACAGATTCACTTATCTCGGAACTACACTCAATTCACAATGGGACTACGTTCAAGAGATTAGATCCAGAATTAAAATGACACGGTCTATATTTATCAAGTTGAGATCCTTGCTGTGCTGCAGTGATCTCAGTTTTGGAACCAAGATGCGGATAGTGAGGTGCTACATTCTTCCAGTGTTACTATATGGAGTTAAAGCCTGGACACTGACGCAAGCTACTGAAAAGCTGATTGAAGCCTTCGAAATGTGGATCTACAGGAGGATACTAAAAATATCATATGTGGACCATGTCACCAACGTTAAGGTACTACAGCGCATGAGAAAAGAAAAAGAAGTGCGTAATTTAGTGAAACAGCGTCAGCTTGAGTACCTCGGCCACATGATGCGAAACGAATAAAAATATTGAATTCTTTAACTCATTATGAAGGTTAAAGTATTTGTTAGGAGAGGACTGGAACACCGTCGTATCTCGTGGTTAAAAAACCGTCGACAATGGTTTGGGATGACCTCCGCGGAGCTGTTTCGCAGAGCAGTCAACCAAACCATGATATTTCAAATATTTCAAATAGAACCACAATTTTCTAAATAAATTTGTACAATTTGGAAGCGTTGTTCAGGCGTCAAGTCTATGCTGAAATGCCAAACCAAACTTATTATGAATCACTTGACGTCATAATGGCCAACAGTTAAAAAAGTGTTACCAACTTACATTTCTATACCTCTAAAAGAACACCCTTTACATATACAAAGTAAGCACAGCATCTTGGGATCGAAAGAACCATTCCCAGTGTACACCAAGACTATAAAGACACCTACCATTCCGGCAAATCAACTGATGGAGTTAGTCTAAAAGGGCGAGCGCCCACCAAAGTGGCGTGGCAGTGGCAAGTAGCAAGTAGCACGCGTCTAGCATAATGTAACCAATGAAAACGAATGATTCAGTTGACACCAAAATGACAGTAACGTCATTCATTCTAATCATTCGTTAGGATTGGTTACATTATGCTAGACACGTGCTACTTGCTACTTGCCAATGCCACGCCACTTTGGTGGGCGCTCGCCCTTAGTCTTTTTTCGTGCCACGTGTCTGCAATACAGAGTCGCTGTTTAGGTTTGCATTTGTTACACAAGTGGAACTAGTATTATGTAACGAAAATTGGACAAAATATAACAATATACTTTTGGACACGTTACAAAATTAATGCATTATAATTTACTAACAAATGTTTTTAGATGCATTTTGTCATTTACAATGAGTAAGGCGTTAATATTTTCCAGGAATTTTTATAGAATTCTTTTACCTAACATTATCACTATACTCTTATACGAACGAAAATCGAGTTAATAAATCACAAGTTTAAGACTTTTTTATTACTAATATATTTGTCATTACCATGTCTAGCACATTTATTTTCTACGGTTTATTGCTATTCTAGCATTAATTATATAATTATATTTTTTTAGCCTTGCTGATAATATACGTTAAACTGATTTCAATATAGCGTAATCTAAATAAATTAGTCCATTTAGGAAATGTGTGATAATTGTTAGAAAATTGGAAACGGAATTGTTAATGAAATCATGCCACAAAGTTTGATATGACAAATATTTGCGGTCATCTTTCCTAATAAGACACCGCATTAAAATAAGTAATTTTTACCTAAACGTTTCAGTGTTAAATAAATGTTTATAAATTATTGAAGTCTAAGTGAACGTTGCGTTGAAAATTGGATTATTAACGGGTTTTTTCCAAATTTGTGTTTTAAGTGTATGTGTTTGTGTTCAAATTGAGAAGTTTTAAGTTCCTGGTAACTGCAAATTCATTTAACTACGGCAAGTAGTAGGTAGGGGCACATTTTTGTATAATTTTTTATAAAAGTTTTATACAGGGTGTCCAGAAACTCTTCTGACAAACGAAAATCAAAGATTCCACATGTAATTTTAAGATTATTTACCTACTTCGAAAATGCTTCCTAAGGGAGCAGAGCTCTTTGAAGATGGCGCCTTGTAAGTAGTTTTTTGTTAATAGCTCCAGAAATCTTTTATTAAGAAAAACGAAAACTAGTACAATTATTTATCCTCCAAAGTTGAATCGATTAATTTAATTGCGAATTTTTAGTACTGTTCATAGGCGTCTGTTTTTGGGTAGGTAAACGGTTATTATAACGCCTAACGTTTTTGTCTTTAACTTTTAAGCATTTGTGATAGTAGATTATTAAATTATCAGGTATTATAGTTCTAAAAGGTACTCTTGTTTTATGTCGATAGAATACACTGTTTTCGAGATAAATCGATTTGAAATATTGGTATTTTTCTTCATGAAAGTTACATTAATATTTTTTGTACTAGTTGGCTTTAAACTGACAACCGAAGTATATCCTACGTTTTTTATTATCATAGTGTTGTCAGTTCGTAAAGTTTCTCTTTCAGTTGTTACTTTTTGGCATTCAAACACAACAATTGCAATTCAACAAAAACAATTTTTAACTAATAAGTAATACGCTGATGTATATTTAGTTTATTGCGAAGTGAGGTGTAACGCTCGAGCAGTAAGGTATATACGCTGAAAAATTTCCCGATTAGGAGAAACAAGTTGTCTTCCCAAAAAGAATGAAACAGGGCAACATAGTTATGTAACAGCAGCATAAGATGTTATTTTAATAGAAGTTGAGCAAAATTTAGAAATTAGCGTTCGAAGACTATTTGCCATGTATCCCACAATTTCAAAATCTTTCGCAGGAAATATTTTACACAACAAAAACTAATATCATTTTTATTTTACAAAGGTACAAGTATTACTATAAGGAGAGTTTCCTTATCGGTTATGGTTACAAATTCAGAAAAATCAAAATGAAGTTTCAGATACATTTTCTTTTGCGACGAAGTTACATTCACAAAAAATAGATTTCTAATGTACATAATGCACATTATTATTCGTACGTTCGTGATAATCCCTACGTTGTTCAAGAATTTAAGCATGAGTATCGGTTTAGCATAAACATCTGAATAGGAGTAGTTGATGATTATCTACTTGGACTCGTGGAATTGCTTGCTCGTTTAAATGGTGCTGATTATTTATATTGCCTGCAAAAATGTTTTACCTGATTTTTTAAATGATGAGCTTTAAAATATTTGCAAAACGTAACGGCTCTCCGGCCAACTATAGCAGGAATGTTAGAGACTCTCTTGATAATAACTAAGAATGGATTAAAAGAGATAGACCGGTTGCTTCGTCAGCAAGGTCACCGGATTTGAATGCTTACGATTATTGTATTTGAGGATATATGAGTGTGACGAGCTCTGTGGGCCGGTTGTACGGCAGAATATTAAAGAAGAGGGTTGAAAGACAGATACAAGATATTGAAGAACAAAGCGGCTTTCGTACCGGGAGATCCTGCCTTGATAATATATTTATCCTACGACAAATAATTGAAAAGCGTGTCGAAAGAAGTAGACCCATTTGGTATTTATAGACCTTGAGAAAGCATATGATAGTGTCCCATTAAAGAAAATGTTTGAGGTCCTCAAAAGGTCCGGATTGGATTCGACGTATATCCGAGCGATATATAAATTGTACGAAAATGCAGTTAGTTGTGTAAAAATTGGAACCAGAACCTCAAATGAATTTAAAGTCACTAAAGGCCTAAAGCAAGGATGCTGTTTGGCACCTACACTCTTTAAAATATACGTTCAAGAAGCATTGAGGAATTGGAGAAATAAATGTAGATTTATGGGCATCGAAGTGGGACAAGCAACTCTGTATACATTGTTGTTTGCAGATGATCAGGTGGTGGTTGCAACCGATGAGGAAGGTATAAATTATATGAATAGAAAATTATTTGAGAAATATGCCAAATGGGGGCTTACTATAAACATAAGCAAAACAGAATATTTAGAAATTGGAGGAAATACCACAGATCTGAGGCTTGAAAACGCAGTCATAAAAGGCTGCAACCAGTATAAATATCTAGGAAGCATCATATCAGCAGATGGCAGAGTTAAGATAGATGTACAAAACCGAATAACCCAAGGGAAAAAATGCATCCGAATACTGAATTCATTACTGTGGTCTAATAAAATAAAGATGCATACCAAACTTCGCGTATACAGAGCAATTGTAGAACCAATTACCACATATGGTGCCGAATGTTGGACGATGACAAAGAATGAACGAGATAAAGTAGACGTTGTGGAAATGGATAATCTTAGAAGGTCATGTCGAGTATCGAGAATGGAAAGAATCAGGAATGAGGAAATACGAAACCGTACAGGAATTAGAGATACTCTTTCAGATAGAATACGAGGAAGGCAATTACAATGGTATGATCACGTGACGAGAATGGACGAGGAGCGGTGGCCAAAGAAAGCCTTAATGTATGTTCCGCCAGAAAGAAGAAAAAGGGGAAGACCACCAAATTCCTGGAGAAGAGAAATTACAAAAACAATGCAATCTAGAGGCTTAGAAGAGGGAGATTGGGGAGATAGGAAAAGATGGAGGCTGAAATGCGGGAAGCGGCAATCGCCATAGGACCCCCGTTATATGATGATGATGATGAGGATATATAAAAGCATTTGTTTATTTCATTGGTCAGCAAGGTCGCCGGATTTGAATGCTTACGATTATTGTATTTGAGGAAATATATAAAAGCATTTGTTTATTTCATTCTGATACAAAATTGTGCATAACTCTGGCTAAGGATGCAAGATGTTTGCAACTTGTTCAAAAAATGGAATTTTTGCAATAATTTGGCATTGTCTAAGCAAAATTAAAAATTTATGTATAGTCATATTGAGCTTTTTTTGTTACTATCTGCCTTTCATATTGGTTCTTTTGATGATACTCGTAGTTTCGTTCTGTTGACAGTTCAAAGCCAACTAGGGCAAAAAATATTAATTTAACTTTCATGACGAAAAAACGAAAAAATCGATTAATCTCGAAAACAGTGTATCCTACCAACATAAAATAAGAGTAACTTTTACTACTAGAATACCTAAAAATTTAATAATCTAGTATTATAAATACTTAAAAGTTAAAGACAAAAAAGTTATGCGTTAAAATAACTTTAATTTTAATAACTAATAAAAAAAAATAACAAATAAATATGAAAAAGACGTGGCAGCCAGGATCATTGCAGGAAACAGGGCATATTACTCAATAATGACTATACTTAAATCAAAAATACTCTATACCAGCAAAAATAAGAGTATATAAGACAATAATTCGTCCCACAAGAACGTATGGAAGCGAGACATGGACTCTGAACCAGCGGAAAACGACAAAATTACTGGTACTGGAAAGAAAGATATTGCGTACTATCTATGGGCCTTGAAGAGAAGAGACAACAAAAGAATGGAGAAGAAGACACAATCATAAACTCCAGACAGTATATGGAGATAAAAACATAGTACGCTACATTAAAGCAAACCGAATAAGATGGGCGGACCACGTGCTAAGATCGAGTGACGAAAAACTCCTGAACGTCACATTCTGGGAAAGACCCGATGGCAGAAGGTCACCCAAGAAAGAGATGAAAGGACGCAGTAGCCAGTGATCTACGCAAAATGGGAATACAGCAATGGGAAATAACTGCCCAGGACCGACAACAATGGGGGGAAATAGTAAACGCGGCCAAGACTCACATAGAGTTGTAGAGCCAAATGATAAAGATGATGTTAAAATAACCGTTGACCTACCCAAAATGGACGTCTATGGACAGTACTAGAAATTCGAAATTAAAGAAATCGATTCAACTCTGGAGGATTAATAATCGTATCCGTTTTCGTTTTTCTAAATTAAAGCGTTCTGTAGCTATTCCAAAAAAGTTTGTACAAGACGCCATCTTCAAAGAGCTCTATTTGGGAAGCATTTTCGGACTAGGTGAATTGGTTTAAATCATCTTAAAATTATCTGAGGAATCTCCGGTTTTCATTTGTCAGGAGAGTTTCTGGACACCCTGTATATGTACGTGAATTTTTATATTTCTTAAAAATAGTTTCTTTATATAAACAAATAAAATCGTATCAACTGTTAAAAGTTATTAGCGGCAGTTATAAGAACAAGAAATACTTAATACAATGCAATACATCACAATTCAATACAATTTTACAATTTCAGAAAATTTATGTAGTTAAGATTTGATGTAAGCAACTTTTAAGTTATTACAAAGAATTTTCTTACTTTTTTTGTCCATGTTGTACTAATACTGTGTTTCACTTTATTTTGTTTTTTTAGAGGTACAGTAGGTACTTTGAAATTGAGTAAAACAAAGATGATTTTTATAAATTGACATGACATTAAATTCGAATGATATTCGAATGATATTTGAATGATAATTTTTTGGCATTATAATAGGATTTCTGGTATATCACCGTCATGGCTTGCTCTGACGTCGTCTAATCTGGAGGTCCAATTTTTGATAACTTTTTCCAATATTTGTCGTTGTATCTCATCAATAACGCACCGAATGTTGTCCTCCAAGTAGTCAATCATTTCGTGCCTATCAGTGTAGTCTAACATCTTTACATATCCCCACATAAAATAGTCTAGAAGTGTTTAAGCACTATCTTGGAGGCACGATTTTGGAGGCCAATTCACGGTCCGAAACATGAAACTATGCGGTTACTAAACGTTTCCTTCAATAAATAAATTGTGGCACGAGCTGTGTGACATGTTGTGCTGTCTTAGAATTAGTATCTGCCATCGTACACAGCAGTAGGATACGTGTCAATCCACTTTATAAAAGATTCTGCGGAAAGACCTTATTTTGCGTGCAAAATACAACTTATGCAAGAATTTAAGGTACATTATCACGTAGCAAGGCATAGATTCGTAGATTCGTTGAGA